CCCCCCACACACACACACACACACACACACACACCACCCCCCCTGTATGTGTGCACAGCCCCGTGAGCACGGCCACATACACACATACTTTTTTTTGCATAGTGACAAGAACACACCCACTCCCCAGCCTGTTGAAGTGTGCATCTTTTCCTTAGCCATGAAGGAGGCTGGTTCATACACTGCTGTTGGCACATTTGTTTTTCCAGTGAAGACAGCTCTTTACCCAAGGGGGCGATGACATTAAAGTAAATGAAATAAATAAAGTGCATCATTTTTTCTTACAAAGGATGTTCCATTAATAAACTGGGAACTTTATGGTAAGAAGTTAAAAATAAAAGGGGAAAAAAAAGGCATAAACATACTCAGTGGGAGCTGGAATATTTTCCAGAGATTGTTTGTTAGCACCCAGCCAAAATCAGATTTACAATGGTGATAATGTTGATCATAAAACGTCATCATGCAAGGCTTATTTTAAAACAAAGATTGCTATAGCCACAAGGGAACAGCACTTGCATTATATCAACAGCAGAAAAGAAAAAGACAACTGAGAATTTTTGGACAAGCTCAATACAGAGATGGCCCCCCTGCTCTGGACTTAACAAATCCAGTCAGTCCCCTGCCTCCCCCAGCCAAGGAAACCTGCCTAAGATCACATACCAAATGTATGGCTAAGCTCTGCTCCTGAATGTGGAGTAGAATATAGGAGTCCCAGCTCCCAGCCCTCAATCACAATCCCCCTCCAACAGAAAGGCACAGGAAGATTCTGCCCTACACCAACTCCCTCAATCCCTGAACAGAATAAAACATCTTGCCAAAAAGGTATTGGCTGGTATGAAGATGGCAGAGTACCACCTACAGGACCCACAACCTCATATCCTTGTGTTTTTTCAGTCCTCTTCACTCACATACTGGTTTCCCAATATAACATACCTCCCTTTCAATTCTCTTTCAACCCGAGACGGGAGCCAGGAACAGGCAGCAGGGAGGAAATATCCTGCTAGACACTCAGACCTCAAGCACAGAGGACGGCAGATTAGGATATATTCCTTGATCCCTAACACAATCTACTAGAAGGCAGAAACCCTCCCTTCCTCATGATGGCACTTCCCAGCAGCCCTGATACTCCATGCACGGATATGGTATGCAGGCTTGTTTCACAGGTTTAGCTGTACTCTCATTCAGTAAAGCTCTCCTAGGGTGGGTACAGACCTTCAGGAAGGTTAGATCAGGTTAAAAATGGCCACCCAAACCTTACGTTTCAACCCCTAGATAAGTGAACCTAAAAGCAACCTGTACAGAAGTTCCAAGAAGGTTAGATCAGTCAAAAAAGATGGCTGACCCAATCCAATTGTTTTCTTTTTATGCTCTACTTCATTTAGTTTCTCTCCTGTGAGGTGTGATATGGTTTTGTGATACATGCCAACACATGTGTATACTTTTTCACAAGATGCTGCAGTTTCACTTATCCAAATTAATTCAGCTTCCAGAAAGGGTTTGTATAACTGGGGAAGTACTGTATTCCTTGGTCATACCACTTGAAAACAACTAGAGTTGGAAGAGCAAGGATGGGACAAAAAACTCAGGATCCAATTTTTTTTCTACACAGATAATCATTTATAAGGATATTAAAAAAAAAAAAAAAAAAAAAAAAAAAAAGACGACAACATCCTGAGCAAAACAAGGAAAAACTTAAGATTTTAACACCAATATCCTTCAAAACTACTTTTAGAAGCTATGGAGATCTAAGGCTTAGATGTTTCTGGACAGGCTGAGGTCAGCATGCAGCGAACCCTGGGACTTAAGGCTGGATTCACTTGTGCATCTTAATTCT